CTGGCTTCGGGGAGCTAAGCACTATACCTACGACACAAACACTTGCACCGCATTCTGTGCGCACTACATGCAGGTGATTTGGGACAACACTGAAGCGATTGGCTGTGCCCTACACTTTTGCAATGGTACAAAGGACGCGCGTCAGGTACTTGCGTGTGTCTATAAGCCAGAGGGCAACGCTGACGTACGACGACCTTATACGACGGTGAAAGGCAGCGAAGTGAAGGCTACCGACGAAGAAGACGAGGAGGTGGATGAGGAGGAGGAGGAAGAAGAAGAAGGAGCTGAGGGTGGCGCTAGTGAGTCGACGAAAGGGGAGGGTAAGGGCGGTACCGACGGGAAAGGTAAGGAGAACGAGACCAAGAAAACGAAGAGGAAGAAAAAGAAGAAGAAGAAGAAGAAGGAAGAGGAGGAGATGGAAGAGGAGGAGTCGGGCGCACATAAAGTAGCCTTTAAGTCATATCTTCTACTGTTGTGTATTTTGTTGTTTTTGGTCAGCTGATGGCTGATCTATCGCCTTTTCTCGCTCAAAAGGTGTGTCATTTAGAGGTGTCTTTTCTGGCCTAATATGGACTCATCATGTGCTCGTTTTTGAATGTGTATAGGTATGCACATCATATGTCCCATAACCTCGTCGGTCTGTGTGCTCCAATAGCACAGTCAATCACTACTGAGGACAGTAAACGTCCACAGCAAAGATCAACGAAGAATATATCCTCGATTAACAAAAATACTTCCTGTAATATGTTACCTATTTAAAACTAATTTGAAACGACATTATAACGAAGTATTTGTAAAAACTTTGTGCCTTATGTGAAAAAGTAGATTTTTTGGTCGTTTTTTAGTTTCTGAAAAATACAGATAATCTTTCTGTCGCCTAGGTACGGATTTAACTTCTTTTTTATACTGCAGTCGTTTTGGCTATCTTTGTCTTCTCTTAGGCTCGGTTACATGATCTTGAATGTACAGAAACGTTGCATATCAATATTGCTAAAACAGTTAATTTTCAAATTATGTAAACGGAGTAACTACATCTTTGAAAACATGGTTTTCCATAAATTCAAAGTTTTAAATAACCTCATGGATGGCGGCCCTTTTGTCCGCTTCTCCTTACTCGCAAACTTCAGGAAAATATGGGCACATTTACCCAACAAATTGCCTGTAGGTGTTATGGGCACCGTTTAGGGCATGAGATCGCACACAATTGCGAGGATTAAGGAAATCAAGTTAGGCGAACGAACGTTTTCGATTAATTCGTCATCAGGCAATACAGTAAGCTAAGGGAGGGTAGAAACAATGACGAGACTGCGGCATCAAGCATCCACAGGCCACCGACGCCATCACTAGACGTCGACACCCTGCGTCCTCACACCTCCCAACAAAACTCGAGACGAGGACCACGGGACGACATTAACTAATTGTCGGACTTGTTCCCCTTCCCCTCCTTCCCCCAACCCCATTTCTCTAGTCCCCAATTGCGAAGACATTTAGAAAAAAAATAAGACGACTGTGTTTTTAAATGACCCGTTTTTTTCGCAACCTATTTTTATGGTTTAATCCTGGTAAGATGAGTGCTGAAACTCTTCAGGCCAAATTATTGTCTTCTAGAACACAAACCAGATCGGATGCGCAAAGAATGTCTTTAAAAGGTAGTGACACAGGCAATTACCCGAATGAAGGGTAACGCAGCTTTCTACGCAAATTTGTAAACCTATTGACTGATAATGTAAACGGGTAACAATGTATGTATGCGAAGAGGAAATGCTACAGTACGGACTAGAGTAGTAATTAAAATGCACAAAGTTTTCGGCTCCAAAGATGAATAATCTCAATTTTGGTCATTAGACTTCACAAGTTGTGTCACATGTTACAGTTGTGCTTGACTTTCTGCCGATTATGAAAATCCTCAATTAGTAAACTGGTAGGCCGGATGGCTGGGTGTAGAATCCTATTTTTACATTCAAGAATTGCACTCCAACTATTATCCAGGAAACCTGTGTCTGCCAGGGACGTTGAGGATTAGAGGGCTCTAGTCGGGAGATAGGAGGAATTTCATGCCAACCCTAACATCTTTCAAGCAATTATATCTGACTCAATGACCCCACAGTGCAATATGACTATTAACAGCGTCCGCGTAGACGTAGACGGTTGGTTCATGATACTGTAACGGTGGCTTTGACTTTGTCACCGCCTAATTACGCCCTTTGGAATCCCCAGCGAATTACATAATGGGAAGGCCGTAAAACTGTAAGCCACCCGGAGGAGAGTTTATTGTGTACAAAACCCGAAGTTGCTGTCTCG